ACCACACTTGAATGTAGGATTGAACAGATCTGTTTGTGCTGGTTGGCACTTACTCCATAGCTCTATGTTCATGGATACACAAGGAAAGCATGACCAATGTGTTCATCCTTTCTATGTATACCAAGTTGTGAAATCAGGTATCTGATCCTGTTCCTGAATTTAGATTTGCTAAAAGATGTGTAGATGTGTTACTTAGGGACATGGTTTAAGGGTGGACTTGGTAGTGCTAGAGCAATGGTTGGATTTGATGATGCTAGAGGTCTTGTCCAATCTAAGTGATCCTTTGATTCTATGATTCTAAGACCGGATCTTGCTCTGGTTTTATTTCATTGATTCACAGACACTTGGAGAAATGTTCTCTCTATGCTAGGAATAGTAGCAATGGAGAAAACAAAATAGGAAATAGGAGACTTACAGTAAGACTTAAAGCAGTACAAAACATTTATTTGTTGACTAAATCTGTGCATTTTGCTACCATCAGGTTCTTTTCTAAGCGTTAAATTCAACTCTGTCTTGGAGTTATCAATGAAATTAATTCTTCCAATTGGAAAACAAATTTTCTTTCTGATTCCTGCTGCTTGTCAGCTAGTGTTCTGGTTACTCTGCTTCAAACTTTCTCCATCCCTTTTCACCTTCACCTCAATATATTCCTTTGTCTCCTTTCCCTCCTTCAGCTATCAGAATTGAATTTTGTATCTACATAACTTAATGCAATGGAAATATATTAGGGTGGACTCTACATCCTATACAGAATAGAATGAAACAAAATTGCATACACTTGGAAAGAGTAGGTTTTAGGTCCATCCTTTATTTTGTGCTCATTGTGAAAAAACAGAATTAAATTAATAGTCAGTTACTGGTTCTTATAAAAATAAACTTTAATTAAAAAATTTTTACAAAGGGAAAAAAAAAGGCAAGCCAGTTAGACAAAGAAAATTACTGGCTGATTACTATGGGAAATTTTATATTTTGAAGTATTAAGCAAGAAAGAAAGGAATGAAGGAGGGAAGAAAGAAAAGAAAGAATGAAGAAAAGAAAGACAGAAAACTATGTAGCCTGGTTACATTTTGTTTAACCTCAAAGGAAGATTTTTCTCCCCTTTAAGTTATTCACTTATATGTACTTGCTATGAAATCAGCATTGTGAGTAAGTTGATAGCCTGTACAGGAAAGGAAAGAATGGCAAGCTGATTACTTTATGGTTATTTCACAAAACTGATGAGACAGCAAATGATATTCAATCCTATTAAAAAGACTAAGCACAGTCTTTTTTCCCCCCTTTTAAAAAAAATTCCTACATTCCTTGTGCTGGGATTGGATGATATGATTCTACAATTCAGGGAGTCTGCAGAGCATCTGCAATGAAATTGGTTTTCTGTGGAAAACTGATGAATCACTTACTGCCAATGACTGGAAGGAAAAGTACTTGTTTATGCCCTTATGTAATGAATTTTTATGAGGTGAAGTTTGCTGTTTATAAAAAATATACTTTCAGTTGCTGCAGATGTAAAATAATAGAATTCAGAATTTAGACCACCACATTACTGAAAAGGCAGTCACTAACAGAATATCATCTACTTACAAAATGCCAAAATGGGGCTTTTACATCTATAATAGAATTAAAAATTCCATCCATTTTGTAAGGTCTTACAAAAAAACAAAAAAACAAACCCCAAAAAATCAAAAAAATCCCAGGGACAATATTAACACTTGTACCTTTGTTAACATATCTTAAAATAAAATTAATACTTTTACCAAAAAATCTGCTTCAAAAAGTAGATCTAAAACATCATGCTCCTGAGCAATTCCTCAAAAAGGAGGCAGTGTCTCTCATGGAAAATCAATTGCATGCTTTTCCTTGCATGTCCCCTCTCTAAGCAACATCTTTTAAGCATGAGGAAAACTGATAGCTCAGGGGTAAGAACTGACCATTTCAATGTGAATAATAACTTTTCACAATCATATGTATCTTAAAGAGAGTTGTATGCCTGCAAATAAATTAATGGAGCTAATTTTGAGAATTTAACAAAAATAATTTATTCTTACATTCAAAAAGAGTTGAGTTTGATTGCTATAATCTTTTAATTTCTCATAGAATCTAGAGATATTTCAGTAAAAGCTTTCACTGCTTGAATGTCATTTCTTTTTTGGACTCTGCCATATATTCCCAGGAATAGCTGTAGGTGAATGGAAATGTGCAGATATCTATTTTTAATGAGTAATGCATTTTGCATTTCTTTAGCAAAAGCTGTTTTGCTGTGTATGTGAAAAACTTCAAATGTCATTTTCTTCATACTTCCAATCTCCTAGTCCTGACATCTATATTGGTTCTGCAAGTATGGCTAATGTACCAGTTTTTCTTGGATCAATTTAGTGTATTTTTATGAAGATGAGTTTTTGTGGCACTAAGCAATGATGCAATGAGCAGCCTTCACTGCTTTGTGTCTTGCCACTCATCTAACACTTTGAAACTCTTGCATGGTGCCTGCTGTTGCTGCTACCGGTCCCAGGGATTGTGAAAAGGATGGAACTGAGGAGGCATGAGGCAGGTCCATCTGCACCTTCTGCAACAGCCAGGTTTGCTTGCGCCTGCAGACAACCAGCCAAGTACACCTAAAGTGTTACCCTATTTTCCACAATGCGTGTAATAGAAGCTGTGCCATGTGGCTAATTGCCCATCTCATGCTTGCATCTGCAGCATGCTCTGGCCATTCAAGCACTGCTTTTGGAGCAGAAATACCATTCACCACACTGGGACCATTTTGCCCTCTGTGTATGGAATGAACAGCAGTGAGTACATAGTTTTTGCATGGAACAGGCCCTGTTTGAAATCCCCATGCTGTTTACCCTGGAGCCACATTCTTCTAGAGCTCTGATTCCTGTGTCCAGCATCCCTCACTGCCTCCAGTTTTCTCCAATATTGACCTTTTGGGTTAATATGGAACAAATTAGGGATTGGTTGTTAGTACTGGTAGTGTAGCAATCACAGAGATGGTCAGAGCCTGTTGTGGAAACCATCCTGAAGCGATGGCAATTATCTGCTTTTTGAATCATGTGACTTTATTAGGCGGGGCAATCCATAGGATCCACAATCTTGGGTAGGAGCACGCATCAACAGAGACTAGAGTTAGGAGTTTTCAATAAATATTGCATTCACATCAAAGAAACTTTTATTTTATTACAGGAGGCTGATTTGTGGATATTATAACTGGCTACAGTAGTCACTCATATGGGAAACTTACCTACTTAACTGAAAACAGACTGAAATCTTCATCAACGCAAAAGCATTTTAAGAAGAGCTTAATTAGCCTCCCATGTAAGAGTCAATACTGTCACAAACACAACTTACCATCCCTGCCTGCTGCAGTAAGCACTCTCCTAGTGGCCCAGGGACTGCCCTGCCCCTAGGCAGAAAACCCTGATCCTTTCTGCCTCCTGGCTTCAGGCCACAAACAAGAGAAGTAACTACAGAGGGCAGGCTAGCAGCCTTGTCAGCAAATCAGGTGTATTTGCCTGAAGACTTCTACTGAACCTGCAAGCTGTGACTCGTTTTTCCATTAAGACAGCGTATCTCCAAGGAATATCCTTGACACAGTTATTGCACCAGAGGTATCCTTCCCAATTGTACAAACAATTTGGAGATGCTATCTTGGGTTATTTCCTTGGCACAGTGTGCCCAGAAAGAGTATTTAGGTAATATCTTTAAACAAGATGGCACACCAGCTCTTGGCAAGTGACTAAAAGCTAGGGGAATGACAGGACACTTTGGTCAGCTTAATAACACTTAGCAGGTCTGCAGTCAGAGGTTAGACAGAAGGTTGGAATGGATACAGAAAATGGCAGAAGAGTCCGCCTATCCCCCTCTCCTGAGCTACTAGAACATGCTCTTATTAGTTCTCCATTACAGCTCTTCCAACATAGCCTAATGCAGAGCATTTACCAGACTGACAACCTTTTGATCCCTGAAATATCCTTGAAGTACCTCCCCAAAAATAGACAGATTTGAGATGAATTGTAGCACACTGGCCAACTTTACCGTGCTTTTCACCAGTTTGTTCTCAGGATCAGAGAGGTACGCAGCTAAGGACATTGCACTTATTAAAACCTGCCTTCAAGATACAGAATTACCTGTACTTGCTGTTGCACAAGTCTGCCCACACCTCCTATCTAAAATAGGTCTGCATTTTGTATGCAGTGAACAGACAGTTTGAACAGAGGTCCAAAACCCCAGGTGTGCTCCAGAGAACAGAAAAGATGACTAACTGGCCTCAGCAGATGCTTTACAATTAAATCTCTGCATATTTGTGAGTCATCTTGTCCCAGTGTCCCATCCTGAGAGGGATCCTGCCCACAACTCTCTTTTCCTTAAGTGACATCTATTTGGTCACATTGCCAGACTTGTGCCAGCTCCGGTCTTGGAAGTGGACTCCCCTGGAATGGTGGAAACTTAAGACTGCGGTAACAATTTCGGTGGACATTTTGATGTTGTCAGCACAGAAAGTTCTCCTGGGAGGCTGAAGGCAGGCAGGTGGAATCTACTCAACCAATTCTACTAAGAGTTTTTCCTGGGAATGCATAATGGGTGGAAGCACCATCTTGAAACTGCTCCCTGGTTTTGTTTGTATTCACTGTGAGTTGCAGTAACCCAGGCTACCATACTTTTGTTATTAAAAGTAAACGACCATCAGCTTCACTTTCTATCGTGGCAGTCAGCATGTGACCTTATCCTCTGTCCAGTCATGTCACAATATTAGAACAAGCCAAGACAGAGTCCTAGCAAACACACACTAAAGTGTAATGGTTGGTAATTTGTTGCTATGACTAGTCTGCTCACAAAAAGAAATATTAAAAAGCTTTGGAACCTAAAACTGAATAAAATTTTAAAGTGAACTCTAAACTAGTTTCTCACTTTGCATTTTGGTCTCATAAATACCAAAGTATGAAACCACCCACTGAGTAAGCATAACTACCCTTCAAAAGAAAAAGGCAAACTTCAGAACCTCCTGTCAAAAAGTATAATTTATTTGTCAACTCGGATTTCATACGAATGATACATCCCAGATAACAATTGTAGTAGTAGTCTCAAATGAAGACATTCATTAGATTTTTAGGAAATATATATCTATTATTTTTCTTCACATCCTTACTAATGTTGAGATCATCCTTGCCCATCATTCGTGGAAAAACGAAATATTTCCAGGTAATGAAGAAATCAGATAGTATCCTTCTCATTTTTTTTACAGAATATTTTTACAGAAAATCTTGCTTTTAGGTCTTCTATAACATTACTTAAATAAAACCTCTCTTAAAGCATATAGAGTCGATGGAGTCACGGTGGCTTGTGCAAGCAAGGAATTAGCATTCTCTGACTCCTTTCAGCTGAATGCCTCCTGAATCACACTGTGGCAACTGGTAATTCTCATTCAAATGAAGATGTGAAAAATTTTCAAGTATGTTTATAATATAATCAATCAGTTTCAGTAACCACTTAATTTTTTTATTTTTGATACCATTAAAATGAAGGCAAACAACAGAGCACAAAGAAAACTGGTAATACAAGGCTGTAACTCCTATCCAAGACTGAATAAAAGTTCTGGTCCTTTAGCTTCCTTAAATTCTAGGCATTTATCCTTTTCATTGATGACTACTCAGAAGTACATTCTCATGGTTGCTGAACACTAAAACCCTTTTATTTAGAGATTAACATTCCAAAATAAATTTTATTCCCTCTACTGCAGGAAGCATTACCAGATGTAGTAGTATGTAAAACTAATTATCCTTTGATTAGTCTACAAATTATCTGATTTTTTTCCCTGTAATATCTTCAAGTAGGCCTTTTCTGCAGCTTATATATCACAAGATACAACAAAACAGAATTACAATATAAAAAAAAGGTAAATATTTAATTTTAAAGTGCTAAAAGGAAGATGCTGAATATTGATTTTGAAGTCCTAAAAACCTAAGCTGCTGCAGGTAGCTTTTCAATATGTAAATTGGAACCTTGGTCTCGTCAATCTCAGCTGTGACTAAACTGAACAAAGGTTTCACCACATAGTAGATTAAAAAAAAATTAAGTAATTCTTTATCTGACTGAAAGAACTGCTCTCTTCCCAAACCTTCTACTACTGTGAGATGCCTGCTATCTGCTTACATCCATGGAAAATAAAAGAACTAAACCCCCACCTTAAGATCTAGGATCTTATGGTAACACAAACTGCTTGGTGATGACACAAGAAACAGACTTTACAAACTTGATCAATTCTACGGGCTACCGATCCAACACAGTGATGAAGAGGTGCTACGTTAGCAGGCCAGTGCTTTGGTATAGTAAGTCATCAGAAGTTAAGTATCAAAAGTTCACTTACAGAAGAAAAACAGTAAGGTCAAATAGAATATAGCACAGCTGGCAAAAACCAGCTGTACAAAAGAGGTACTGAACTGTTGGAAACAGGTTTTGTACTGACAGTGTAACAGGGATGAAAAACTATACATTTTACCTGCATGAAGCTGCAAGAGACAAAACAAACCTCAGGAAATTCATACAGCTTAGGAAAATCAAACAGCAGGACAGAGAAAGGTGAAATGAAAAAGGAAGATAACATTTTTTAAATATTCAGAAAAATGAAGCGTTTCTAAATAGGAAGGAAGATAACTCCTACCTAAGAAGGACATGACACCTAACAGAGTGCTCCTTTGACAAAATATTACACCGTGACTTCAACTTCAGAGTAAACAGAGTCCACAACAAACAAAGGTCTACTATGATTCTAAGCTACAAACACTGGATTTTGGATGCATAAAAATGTTAATTAATAAGGATAGTTAAAGACAGAGGTAGCAGAAATGCTGATGATGCTTTCTGGAGACACTCAGACCACTGCAAAGTCAGGGCTGTTAATACATTTCTTTGGGAAAAGGTATTAAGTGATGTGGAGGGACAATTCATACAAAACGTTTCTAGGATCAGGAAGTGACTCTGGGATACGTCCCTACTGTCTTGACAGTTTTGATTCTTCTCATAAAGACAGATTTGCACCTGCTGTTTCTAATTGCAGCAGCAAATAACAGAAATATGGCAGGCTGCTAAAATACACATTTGATGGCAAATAACATTGCGGCACAGTACGTGGTAGCAAATGCTCTGAAGTGTCTGATGATGCATAGAACAGTAGCAGAATTAATGAAGTTTTGGGATGCCCAAAGATAGTTACAAACTCGCAAACTATATTTAATTGCATCAGATGAAAGCGAAGTGTGTCACTCTAAAGATCAAAACCTAGAATTTAAGATCTTCAAACAAATAGGCTGGTGGGTTGTTTTAATCAGAATGTAGAATGAAGAATGTAATAAATCATTTCATAAAAGTAGATCAAAGATATTGGATTAGCTGTTACCATAGTATATTTGGGACTGACTATTGATGATAGCCAATCAAGAACACAGCCACCATAAAGCTATTTACTCAATTCATCTGTATAAGTTTTTGAAAATATAAGAGTCAAAAGAGGATGCAATGTATTTTTGTGTTAATGAGACTCTTCTGGGTAAGACTTCCTGTTAAAAAAGGACTACAAAAAAATAATCTTATAAAACCAGGTTGAAGAATAAATGTAGAAGAACAGTAACACCATTGCAAAGGCAGCTAAGAAATCAAATAGTGAAAGCAAAGAGCAGGAAAGCTACCTATTTTAATGTGTTAACATGCACATAACTGTGTTTGAACTTTTCTGTGTGGAGGTGAACTGTTATATTTGGCATCCACCTTGACCACACCAAGCAAGAGAAGTGTGTCAATTCCCACAGACAGCAGGTTGTGAGTAAACAGTTTTCTCCAGTGTCTCAGACTCAGAAGAGTGCAAGTTACCTTTGGCAGCTGCTACATTCCAATGGATGATGGACTTCATCCCTCAGATTTGTAGGGAAGTGGTAGGTCATATATATGTCACTGAAGATCAGAGACATAGCTGCCTGAGGAAACCAGTTCAGTCATCTCTTGAAGGTGTATTTGCACCTATCTCCTGTAGGTACATGTTAACTATGGGGTATCTAGTTATCTACCAGCTGGATCACAAAACTTATGGTCTATTAACAAGAAAACAATTTTGAGTTAGTGTTGTATCCTGTCATGGTAGTTGAACATGATGAAAACTCAAAAAATCTCCTGAAATGACAATTCATCTTACATCTTCCCCCTTTTTTTTAGTGAAACATCACACCGGGAATTCAAATTTTAAATAAATTGAAAATTATTCTTTAGGCACAAAAAGGGTGACTTCCCACTGAATCCATCTACTAGCTAAGTTAATAATGGCACAAACTTTTATAACAACCTTGAGAAAACCACAAAATGGGTAAGAGCTTACTGGGTGTCTTCTCTGTCCTTGAGGAAGTATAGAGCATGCAGTGAAGAAGTGGTAGGCTGATAAGACCAGATCTAAAAACAAATTACTTGACAACACAGGGGTACCAAAGTGGGATCAAGTAGTCTGAGAGAGAGTAGAAGAGCTGGTGAACTCATTTTCTTTGCTTCAGAGCCAAGCTGGCACTTGTAAGAGACCAGAGGAATGGCTGTGCACTGCTCCCCCTGCCCCCTTGAGCCTTCTCACACTGCAGTGTGCAGAACACATGGCATTTGGGAAGTCAGTCACCCGCCCACATGGTAACAGGGGCGGTCGACTGCATGGACCCACTGGGAATACTTTGGATCTGTGCAAATACACCCATGAGACTTTGGTGCTGAAATTAGCATCAACTCACATGGGGAAGGGTCCCAGCAGACCAGAACATATAAAAGGACAGCAACACACACATGTGGAAGGACGGCCTACCCTGATAAAGCCCAGAATCTGATCAGAGAATGCAAACAATACAAGCTATCTGTGATGAGTTACCAGTGGTGCCACGGTAATGTTTTTGGTGTTGAATTATGCTAAAGCCAGCCTGGTTCACCACATTCCAAACACAAATCCTGCATTTTGAATTTGGATGTGACAGATAAGCTGGTAGCTGGCCTGCAAATTTGTGACTAGCTTTATACTATAAAAGTCCAGTCCCCTTTCATAGATTCAGGTTCTTCTAACATAACTCTTCCTGGGGTATATGTGCAGAGATTCTTCCCTCTGGCTGGGGATGCCCCCCAAGGATATTCCTCGAAGTTAAGTGAAAGAGATCTCCCCACAAGCATTGGTATGGCTGAGATACATCAAATCTCAACTCAATAATTATTTCTTTTTGCCGCCTTTATATAATTGCTTCAAGAATTGCTTCAATATAGAGCACTGTCCTATTTTATACTATACTACTGGTAGTTTTAACATTTATATTGTGTAGTAAATAATTCTGGTTAAGATCTCTGTCAGATCACATGTAATAATAAACAATTCATTTCACAAAAACATTCTTGGTTTGCTGTCATTAAACCTGCGGGACAAAAGTGGTTCCATCACACCACTAAAATTCCTTCAGTTTAAACCGTTGACAAAATCTGAAGCTAAGGTTGGATACTTTCCGCACCTCATGACTCAACAGCAGGGTTTCTTCAATAAATTTTGTCTAAGCCCTCCACTCCCACCCCCTGACAGTGTGCCATGTGGCATGCTCCACTACCCTGGATTTAAAAGCTGCTGAGACCACACTGCATCCTAGAGTGGTGATAATCTACCCTTCCTCTCTATTCTCCTACCTTCTTCTACTCAAAATATATCGTAGGCCAGACCAAAAGGTTCCTGTAGATGCCTTGCTAAGTGCCTTGTTGTGTCTGGATGAGTTAAAGATTGCCAAATTTAAGTCTCTCAAGTGTCTTAGTCAATCGGAACGTTCTACAGTTGGCAAGTAAAGGTTGTTATTGAACCTCCTGAGAATTTTGTTGTTTCTTCCATGCACCACCTGGAGTAAATCCAACCACCTTTCCCTAAACCTGCCAAGCAGACTGGGGCATTACAGCACTGTAACTTAATAAAAAACCTAATAGTAAAAATACATGTTATGAAAAACTACAGAGTCTCCAAAACCATCTTTACGCTTCCAATAGCCTCTGAATTCTTCCATTATTCTCTTCAATACATTTCACATATTGTATAAAACTAAATCAACTGCATATCAGACATGCAATTCTGTCATTTCAATTTTGTACTTCAGTGGTTGAAGAGTGTGTACCTCTGAGCCACATTTAGGACATGTAAAATACATATCAAATAAGTAGTTACTTTTAATACAGTAGTAACAAAAAACATGTGGACAGCCTATGGTATGAGGCATGGTAGGCCATTCCCCACACAGAGAACATTCCCTGCAGTGGTCTGCTAATGTGTTTTCACTATTGGAAAGCCCTGCAATAGGCAAACACCAAGAAGAAATCTTAAGTTTCAGTTTCTGTACATTAATAAGTGGCAGAAGATAAATCAGAAATTCAGCAAAGCCATGCCACAAGAGCTCCCTGTTCATGTATTCAAATCCTACCTGACGAACACTTTGAGGCTTGCAAAAAACTGACCTAATTCCTAGAATGCGTTCTGTAAGTGTTGCAAATGTTCCTTTCCGAAGAAAAACCAGAAAATTTACAAGTCCACAAAGTTTTATAAGTCCAGCTCCAAAGCTAATATAGCTCTTAATTTTGGAGAAAGACTGTTGTTGACGATTGCTAAATAAATCATAACATCTTTCTTCCAACCATCTTCCACCAACAGTGAAAATAAGATACCATAACTTCTGGTGTTTGCTCAGAGGCTGGTATTTCTCTGTCTGAGATAAGTTATTCTTGTACTGAATATTCAGAATAGCCTGTCCCACAGTTGCATTCTTGGAATAGATGGTGAATCTCCATAATATAAGACATAAAAATGCTTTTACTTCTGGTTCAAAGTGAGCCAACACCCCTGGTTTAAATCCATGAAAACAGCTGGTAAACTGGGACCACACGAGTTGTTCCAGGGCTTTGTTTAGTTCAAGAGCATCAAGTTGACTTATTCTGAGCACAGGATCCACGCCCTTTCCATTTCCAGTGCTGGAGGCCATTTCTTCAGAGAAAAAACTTTCTAGGAATAAAACACAAATAGATTTTAGTGTAATGGAGCATTTCCTATTTCTGTTTTTAGTAAAGATAACAAAATCGTAATATACCAGCAGTAAACAAGTATATTCAGAATTTGTTATTAACGTTACAAATCCTTTCAAGAAGCTTTGCATTAACAGTAAGAAATTTAATCTCAAAAGAAATTATATTTGACTATTTCTCATAAACAATATTTGGATTTGGTTACACAGAAGTGTTCAACATCTAAATATTTAGAAAAATCCACCAATTTAGTATTTCACTGTATACATTTTAAAAAATATTGCAGGGCATAATTGTAATATTCAACTGGACATTAAAATAAATCAGAAAGAACTGAAAAATTTTATGGTGTTCTATAGAAAAATTGGGAAAATGAACATACTAACTGAAAATCTAGAAAAGAATAGTGGGGAGGACAGAAAATATAACAACGTGAACACTTCAGTAGCTGCAGCTGAAAGTATAATCTTAGAGATACTAACAAATTTAAGATTTACTTTTTTAGAATAGCTTCCTTTAAATGTTATTGTAGCTGGAATTCTGTGACTAAGAAAATAAATGTACCAAACTGCAAAAGTAAAATACAGGTAACACCCACTACACTCCAGATTTTAAGCCACAAGCTGCTCAGAGCAGTTACATTTATTTAAGACTTTTTAAAAGCTTTTTGGTTCATTATTACCTCAAGTTCGCGTCCGGAGAAAACACTACTACACTTTCGCTAAGAGAATTTCTTTCAATTTAGTGACAGAAAAAAGACATTTCAGCAAAAGGTTCTACAAAAGAGTAAATTACAACCAAGAAAAGCATTTCACTAAAACACGCAACACAAAGACCTAGTTTACAGAAAACCCTTTGAACTTCTTCCTCATTAGCAGGCAAAATATGGCTGAAAGTAGCACAGGCCACTTCCTCCGGACAAACAGCTTTGGGGTTCATTGCATCAGCCCACACAGGCCGAAAAGCTGGCACGCAAAGGCTGTACACCCAAGCCTGTCTTGCTCACACTTCTCTGTTCTGTAGCAGGAACCAAAGCACGGAAACCTTTTCCAGTACAATCCAAATAACTGCACTCCTCTACTTTATGATCAAAGGGTCAATTCAACCCCTACTAGATCTTGTTGCATCACTTCAAGAACTCAAGTGCTAATGACTATCCTCATAGTATATCCTCCTACCCCTCATCTCACCTTACTAGCATTTTAGGAACCAGAGCCTCTTACAATCATTTGCTCTGGAACCTGTCACTTTTGTTTAGCATTATTCACTCATAAACCCTAAAAGTCTAATGTCCTCTTCATTTTCTCTTCTACTCATTTCACTCTGTTCAACTCATTTCAGTGTTCTATACAATTCCCAATACAGAAAAATCTCCTTTAAAAATCCTAAAGTTACTCGAAAGGAACATCTTATCAAACAACTTCCTTGATCCATCTACTAAGACAATTTTCCAACATCAGTTCAACCATCTTTTCCAGCTGTGTCCCATTCTCCCAGGTGCTATGAGAAATTTCTGTTGTAGACTTCTTTTAAGTAAGGTAGACTAAATCTGTAAAGATTTCCCCACCACCATTATAGCCATATTATCTAAAGAAACCTGAGCAAGTGAGGAATAGGTCATCAGGAACTTTCTGAAATCCAAGGAAAATGTGTCAAATACATAGGATTATGATGGATCATAAAATACACGAGAAAGTCAATGGATCTTATCTTTATAGGCTGGGAGCCTCTATGACTGCATACCCACTTTGAAAAAAGGACGTAGGGATTCTAGTAGGCAGAAAGCTGAACACAAGTCACAGTGCATCCTTGCAGTGCATTAGCATGGGTGTAGCCAGCAGACTGGAGGATGTGCTTATTATCCTCCACTGGGCATTGTTGAGTCTACACCTGGGATAATACCTCCAGTTTTGCCTCATTTCTATCAATAGTACAAAAGACATGTCAACAAACTGAAGGGTTCACTCACTAATACCATCAGGGAGCCCCAACACCTGATATATGAGAAGAGTTTGAAGGGACTCAGATTGTTCAACTTTAAGATAAGGTAGCTAAGAAATTATCTATGAGTAATTTTCACTACCTAGGGGTTGCAGTGAAGATTCTTTCACTGCATCTCACTTTTCTGGGAGATGCAGTGAAAAAAAAGAGAGGCAAGTGTGTGATAAGTCACTACATGAGAAATTCCAACTGGACATAAAACAGTAAGGATTTGACAACTCCTTAACTCTCTAAGTAGTTTAAAACCTAAGAACTCAGAATTATAGATCCAGTAATGAAAGAGACAAGTATTAACACTCAAATATACGATAAACTCTATGTGTGATAAACTATACGGGTGATTAACTTGTTATATAAATAGACTTTAAGACAGAATAGTAAAGACTACTACTTGAAAGGTTCTCTGTTGATTTTATACTGTCACAGATATTGCATAGAAAAAAATTTGAATTGCCTCCCCAAAAAAACTCAAAACAAAACAAAAAACTATTATGTTTCTTTCTTAAAGAACCTATATTTTGTCTGTTTGGGATTTTTTTAAATAAACAAATAAACAGTTATACAGTACATTGCAAAACAATAAAATTAATGATTGTATATCACTAGGGAAAGAGGAATTTCTTCTGGTATATATTAGTGCTGTTATTGAGCATTGTACAAATTATGAATGAATATATTTTATTTGGAAACATGTTATTGACAGAAATCTATCAATAGCAATGGGAGTATTGTCAACAGCCTGTCAATATTAATGTAATTATAATTAAGGTGATAACATGGATTTTAGCTATAATACCAAGTAACATCTCCTGCATTGCTGCTATCAATATAAACATTATTATTGACCTCTTCTGGAACTATCAGTATGAGATGTATTACCACCAGGGACATCTGTCAATGCATTCTGCCTACAAAAATTCTACATTTAAATTTACAGGATTGTAAACTTTGCCTGCAGAAACATACAAATCCAAGTAACCTCTTGGGTGCCATTTTTTGCACAGGACTGTTCCATTGTGGATAAGTAATCAAGAGGTTTCTACTATCTCAGAACTACTGCAATTGCATTTCCTGCTTTTGTAGCACAATCATTAAAGGAAAAATGAACCTATATGCAAAAGCCTCAAAACAACTTTACGTATGATTTTTCAAAACACTTTTTGGAAAACCAAATAGAAATATATTTACTAAATGACAAAAAAACTTTGTTCCTTACTGTTCCAACTCTTTTAGATGATTTCTTTTGTGCAGTCAAAACACGTATTTGGAGCATTGTACTTATGCAGGGATGGAATAGACCACAAGAGACTACCAAATCCTAACTCAGCACAAACACAGGCTCAGGAATATACTGACAGGTGTTTAACTATCAAGAAAGTTAATTCCACAGTTTTTCTAAGTAATTAGTTCCAGTGTTTTATCACTCTAATAATTACAAAGAATCTTTTTCTCATGTTCAATCTAAAGAATCTTTATTAAAAGAAGGATGCTTTTCATTCCACAGCAGAAAACAGTAACAACAAAGGAAAAGAATTTCCATTTAGTTGCACCTTCTCAAGAGCAAAAAGCAGAAAGGCATGTGAGGGGGCCAACTATGCAAAGAAGACCTGCCAAACTACACAATGTCCTCTTTTCTACAATATGCCTGGTATGATCCTCCACAAAAATCAAACCAAACAAAAAATCCAAACAAACTCCACAAATAAACAACTTTACTCTTTTCCAGCAGCATATCAGAATTTACCCTGAGGTCTAGTATATCTTCTTATCTTTTTCTGTCACTTTTCTCTCTGAATAATTATTTCCTATTTTAGATTCATGTATTTGTGTTTGTCATGTTAAATGCAGTGCTTCATACTTGCCTCCACTGCTTTTCATCTTGTTGATTGTAGATATTTTCTTCAAACTCATCAAGAGTTTTCTGGATTCATATCTTATGTTGAAAACAAAGTAAAAAAATAAACAAATTTTAACCCTCTCGCTGGCTACTATCCTAAGTAACATTTCTAAGTATGTGTTCTCTTCCATCATCCAACTCATTAATGCCTTTTCATCTTGACAGGGCACTATAGATAATTACTTAGTTGAGGCAACTTTTCAACGTGATACTGATAATATCAGCATCTAATGGAGACAGCAATTGATATTACATTTCCCTAGTTTGTCTGTGTAGGGAAAAAGACACTATTAAAATCAAGCTGTAGTTCACTTAAAGTTTTCCTCTTACTAAACTTGTGATCCTTTTTAAAAGGAGAAACAGGCTGAGGTTTCTTACAATCAGGTCTCATCAAACCATACTGGCTGTTTTACAATCTCTCTTCTACCCATTATTAGATACAAATTAATTGCTAAACTATTTACTCCTAAACCTTTATCTGGAATCAAAACTGACAGCTTCAATAATTCTCTTAACAGAAGAATAAACAGGCACAAAACCAGGCATGTACAAACCCATTTTGCTGGCTATTTTCACCCTCTGGGATATTAAATAAATAAATAAAATCAGTGGTGCCTAATTCCTCAATCATTCTAGGATGAATTTTATTAGGATTTGCCACTTGAGCACATCTATATTAAGATTCCTTAGGCTATTCTTTTCTGTGCTTTGGTTCCACTCTTATTTCCTGTATAAGATTAATTTTATGAAAGGAGCAGGTCACAATATATCTCTTTTACAATGTATGAAGTAAAGAATCAGTCTTTGAAAGTCTGTTACTTGTTCTCCTTTCTTATTTAATAACATCTAGGTAATGGACCTATCCCTTTGTGCCTCCTCTTACTCAGAGTTTGGACCCTTTCACTGATTCTTTTCTTGTGCTTTGTAAATTGAAACTTATTTTGTTATTTAGAGTCATCAATTTTATTCTTACATTCCTAGGCTATTCGTTTATATTCATCATTAATCATGTTATATTTTTTCTTGGACAAATCTTTTGATTTCCAGGCCATGGAAAAATTCCTGACATATAAAGTATCTTTAACATTCATTATTACTATTTTAGTTTATTATACAAAGCATCTCAACACAAAGAAATAACAGGACATACATTACAGCTAACAATTTCTTAGCATTTTCAACAGACTCGATTCTGCCCAGTCCCAGCATTGAGATCTATGGCTCAGGCACGGCAAAGGAGTATGTGGAGTGGGCATGCCAGGAATCATATCCTCTCTGGAGATAACACTAATACACAGTTCATTTTTTTCTTCTGGAGCTACAATGCACTTGGCATTATGCATTCTGTGTTGCCATACTGGGTGTGTGAGAGAGCAAAAGAGCAAGCCATGTCCTTGGTCTACTATTCCTCCTTTTATGTTAATAAAGTTCCACCCACCACAAGAATGCTGAGACTGTTTTTAATGTGAGGTGGGGTGTTTTTTAATTGGTTTGTGGGTTTGGTTTCTTTTTTGTTTTTTGGGGGTTTTTTTTGGTGAAAATGTATACCATTTAACTGTTCTTTTCAGGTACTCCCATTGGCAGAGGATATTTTAGAAGTCAATTTAAAATCAATAAATTTAAAAGATGAGAAATCAAACTGTATGTATTCAGTTAACTTTAAAATCTTCCTTAACACCAACTCTTATAACACAGAACATGGACCCCAGCTGCTCAAAGCCTCATGTCTTACCACTAATTCTCATCTTGTTCTTGCTCATCAAGTGTAGAGAGAAATATTCTCAGATCAAAGTCTAATTGGGAGCCCCAACTGTGTTGTCTCTTAATCACTGTAAAATTAACTTATCGCTATATCATTACCTCAAATAACCTTACAAAAGATTGATTTTGTATTACTGTCTGGATTTCTATATACTTCAGCCAAATACCTATCATTTTCTAAAGAACATAAATTGATTCTTTAATCATTTGGAATAACTACTAACACTAATTGAAAACCCAGTAGCATATTGCAATCACAGAAACTATTATTTATTTCTTACATTCCTGGAAGAAAGGACTATTTCTCAAAATAGACAAAGTCAAGGAAAACACTGAATGACTGTGTAACAAATCAATCCCACAGATAAAATTATGATTTTCATTATGGAGGCTGAGTGAGCAACTACTAACAAATCCGAGAATCCTAAATGCTACAGTTACATTTAATGTCCAAAGACCAAGTACAAGACAAAGATGCATTCAAATCACCTACTGCTTTTCCAACTTTAACTCAGCAAACTTAGATTCCATAAAATGAGATATAAGAGATTAGCCACTGCTGAATGCCTGGAGACAGCAAAAAAACAATGATAGCTCATTGATTTACCTTCCATAAATTACTCTCCCAAGTCAAAACATTAGGGTTTCAAGTTACAAGATCATAACCAACTCAGAAGAGCCAGAACTGATACAACAGTATGAAAAGCAGTAGGAAAGCACTGCACTGTTAAAGCTGTATATCAGTTGTTTCTGTCAGCGTTTGATGGAAAATGAAAATCCCATGTCAGTGTAATACATTCCTTCAGTAAATGTCAGCAACCTAGGCTATTACTGGCCACCATTAAAGACACTGAATGCTAAGAGTTCCTATGGATTTCAGAAAAATTTGTCATCAGTCGACACTCGTAAAAGATTATTATATGCAAACAACAAGATTTGATAGACTAATTACCACATAACCAATATTTAAAATAGTACCTTTTAAAATTTGTGATGTTGAATTCAAGGCTACAAAAGCTCTAAGTACATTTGCATTCCTCATAGCAAAGAAGCCAGAGACAGCATCATCCTACCACTTTTTGGATATGGTCCTAATCTTCATTTATTGGAATAAACAGGAAGACAAGCATGTACCAAATTAATGTTCAATCACTATTCTTCTTAATCCCATAACCTACTTCTCTTCTTCCCCCATCTTATTTCCTCTCTTTTGTAACCCTTCTCTTAGTACAACAAATTACAAATTCATCTGTAAAGGGACGTGTCAGTTCCACTTATAAATTCCCATTCTCCGCTACTCTAAATTAAATCCTGTTGTTTCTTTTAACTGATCAGTGATAAAAACCCAAAAGCTTAAAAAACTAGCTACATTGTAACCTGAGGTTTTCCAAAAACCATGGTTAAAAAAATCCCTTGATCACCAAGATGCTGAACAAAACATATGCCCAATACAAAACACTGTCTGTTTTTATTTTGGAACTAGGTAATGGGAATTATCTGTACAAGTGCCTTACCTTTACTATTGACGAATCAAAATGTTGAAGAGAGATTTGAAGTAGTTGCACAGTGACAACTGTGATGGTTGAATGGGAAGGAAGAGCCCCTTGTAAGGAAGGGGCAACAATTCTGACTAAAGCAGGAGATTTAAGAGAATGGGAAAAATCAGAATGCCTTGTGCTACAAATGTATGTCTCAACTGCTGATGTGATCATCCAGCAGGGGAGATCATTGCATTTGAAGACATTTTAGTTGCAATAACATTAAAGGTTCTGCTAAAAGGATGGGTAACAAAATAATATTGCATTGCATTTATAAAACTGAAAAGGACATAAAGCTTAGTAAATGTGCCACCCTTCATGTAAAGCAGGTGAAACATCACCTGGTGGCAGAGTTATGCAGCTCCGTTTCCAAATGGTCCAAAGACAGAACGTGAATGCACAGATGACAGCACACTGTGGGCAGTTATTATCATAACTCCTCCTTTGCTGGTTACTGCTACTTACCTGAAAAGTTGGTCTTACACCTCAAGACACATGTAACATCTGCTTTTCACTATTGTAAGGGCACTGTATCTCACATCGTCTTATTTATCAAGCACAGCATCAATTCCAATTTTATGCATCTTTCCCATGCCCCTCATCTGTTCTTCTATTCAAAACTACCTAAAAAACAAACAAAAAAAGAGAATCTAACTTAAATTTCCATTTCACAGCTGTGTCTCTGTTCTGCTCCTACCTGTCTGATCCTTATGAATGGATCACCAGACAGGTATGGAGATGCCAGGATAAAGATTGAGTAGATATGTAGAAGGGATTCCAGAAGGAATGCCTGCTCTATATCTTCTAATATAATATACCACAGATGACAGAATCCTGAAATTTTGCATTAAACATCTTATGCTTATCATTTGTGAAACAGTCACTGCCCAGATTTTATTCCAACTTTCTTTCTTTTTACATACATATGCATACCAACTGCAGTCATGAATATTCAGTGATATGCAAGTGTAACAGTGCTGATCCAAGCACTCCACTGAAGGAACATAAGGCCCTTTAACCTCTTATTAGAAATATGTATTAGATGAGAACAGTAAAATCTGTCCTAAATGCATAGCTAAGTCATAATTAACCCCTGTCCCCATCTGTACCAAAAGAAGAACTGCATGTAAAAACAATGTTGTTACAGACTGTATATGATATCATAGAGCTAATAAAGCCCTGCATCAATAAAAAGACAAGCTTGTTCACTGTAAGTTTTTAATTTTGGCTTTATACTATACAGTATAACTTATGAATAATTGTATCTAATTATAATCAAGATCTCTCTTACGTCCACCAGCAAGATAAAAACTAAAGTTTTCGTTTGACTAGAACTGTGGTCTTCAAGCCCAACATGCTGAATGTGCAAGCACAACACCACAACACTGTAAATACAAATAATGAAACTTTTTGCTGTCTTTCAAAAATGAAAAAGAATTATTTGTACAAGTCCACTGTAGGATTTATGCAGACTTGCAGATGAGAGACTACTCTGTTTAAATAAATAACACTCCCCACTCTTACCTTTTCATACGAATGTATTTTGAAATGTTTGGCATACACAGTGACTAACAGAGATGCTACGAAAATTAGATGTGCTCAGTGTCCCCAAATCTTGAGAGTTTTATTACTTGGTAATTACAGTAACTTTAAGCACACAATGGAAGACTGATAGGCTTTCACCACACCCTCCTCGATCCTATAACTTTATTAGCATTTTAGAATCCACTGGCATGGTTGCACACATGTATTACAAGTAACAGTTTAAAAGAGGGGTAATAATTTTCTTACTAGGCAGCCTGAGCTGTGCACTGTTACAGTTTCTAAAACCTCTCTGCAATTCCAACATGAATTTCCCTTCATATTTAGTTATGCCCCACAGTGTCATGGCCTTATATTAATTTCCTTTCCAGGGAAAGTTTTTTTCCTTGCCAGAACCCTCCTGTGGTATCTTCTGTCAGCTCAAATGCCTATAATATTAATACTATTTTTGAATACTATTATTGTAATGTACTTTTCCAAGTTCTGTTAGAATTTAAATTTTGATTAACTCCTTTCATTTTCTAACCCCAGTGACAACAGATTAGTTCAGTTTGTTAGAGCATGGTACTAATAACACCAAGGTCACAGGCTTGGTCCCCGCACAGGCCACTGACTTAGAAGTTGGACTTTATGATCCTTGTGGGTCCCTTCCAACTAACTCAGAATATTCTGTGATTCTGTGAACACTGAGACAGGGGAGATAAGGACTGGTAGAGACAGAAATTTTAGAGACATTGTTCCCAGGCAGCTACTGACACAAACACAATGAATATTACCAGTGTTCAATTCAACTTCTTCCTAAAGGTCAAAAATCTCCACAGGTCACTCTGGGTAGAAAAAGTAGGAAATGCCCAGATCCAGTCAGAATCAACCTTAAATCAAGAGTTGTACCAGTTGTAATTTCCCTCTCTTCCCAAATTGTGTATTTGTCCTCTTTTTCATCTCTTAGGAGATAAAAAAATTTTTATCTCTTCTCATTTGTACCTTTTCTTAGTCTGAAAAATCTGAATTTAGTTTCCTTTTCAAAACAGACTTATGAATTTCGTGTATTCCACCTCCAAACCAAAAAAAAACCACTAACCATCTCTAAGAGAAGCATACTACAAACAGACAGCATCCTTTCTGTTTTCCTTCTCCTGAAGATTTTTGTAAAGCTTACATGTGAACTGACAGTGCTTGCAGATGTAGGTCAGCTGCATGGCTGCAGGAACCATTCAGCTCACCCAGGAAGCTACAGGACAGAGAGCCTGCTACCTTCTCTGTCCACATACAGCACAGTCTGACTAATGAGACTGCAACTTATTAGCACAACACACTGGTCCTTTTTAATTCTTTTTTAATTTGTTGTCTTTAACTTCACAGGGAGTACCGCGGAGTAGCTGGTGCTGAGAGCAGGCTAGTTGGTTAAAACAAAAGTCACACCCTTTCTCTTCCTCCCTTCACTGGTCTGTGTGAAAAAGTATATATTGTTTTATGTGTCAAAAGGAAAAAACACAACCCTATCTTTACCCCCTCTCCATCCATCAAAAAACCAAACCAAAAACCCCAATAAAAACCCCAAAACAGTATAAGCGGCCTGCTTGAAAAGATGATGTCGAAGTAATCTTCTGCTTCAGTCCCAGAGATGTAATAAGGTGTAGGGTCTATCATCATTAACTGCAGTAGCAATACAGTCACTGAAGTCTATTTCCATTTTAAGTCATAAACAACTTACTATCATTAGGTTGAAAATTTAAATTCACTCTCTGCATGCTCTGAAAACCTGCATGAATTCAGATGTTTTTCCTGGAACGTTAACATTTGGAAACCAGAACTTCCTAGGGAGAAATTTACATTTGGGTATTCCAATGAAAGACTGATTTTAATTGATAAAATTATCACCTTTTAACTGCACACATTGCATACAAGTGCAAATATATCCTCTTCACATTTTGTATCTTACAAGTTCAGGTCTGTATATACTAAACAAATGTATCAGGCTAATATATTTGTAGAGAGTTAAGTGTATTTATGATGTGAAGGATCAATATAGACTTTAAAATATTTATTGTGATTTAAAGAAAAACATGCCACTCTCAACAGCTTGCTGGCAAAGGGGTCTTTTATTTGCAGTCATTCTAAAGCAGTACAGAGCAGTTTTCCTCTAAAATTTTCCTAAACCATGTCTGTTGCTGGTGGGTTGCCCTAATACTGCTTGTGTATTTATTGCAAGTTAAGAAGAAAAAATAAAAATAAAAATTAAAAGAGGTGACATTGGAGTTGACTGTTGCCCCCTCCTTTTAAATTTTTTCATATATGTGACAACAACGGCAAGTAGGAAGGGATCAGTGCAGGGCTGTCTGGAGCAACTTGCACAGGACCTTGTCCAGACAGCTTTTGAGTATCTTCAAGGAGGGGGATTCTACAACCTCCCTGAACAATTTGTGCTTGGCAACCCTCACAGTAAAAAACTGTTTCCTTACAATCAGGCAGAGCTTCCTGGATTTTGGCAAGTGCCCACTGTCTCTGGTCACATCACTGCACACCACTGAAAAGAGCCTGGATCTGTCCTCTTTGCACCCTCTTTTGAGGTACTTATATAGATGAAGAAGATTCTGTCAAGCTTTTGCTTCTCCAGGCTGAACAGTCCCAGCACTCTCAGCCTTTCCTCACAGGACTCCTGACCCAGTTCCTTAATTAACCTTGTGGTCCTTTTTTGGACTCTCCAAGCCTCATCTATACCATGAAGCACAGAAGTGAATAAAATACTCTGTATGTGGCTTCACCACCTCTGAGAAGAGTAACAGGATTCTCAACCACCTCCCTTGATCTGCTGGTAACATTCCTTCTTATGCAGCCCAGGATACTATCAACCTTTTATGCCGCAAGGGCACACAGCCGGCTCATTCTGAACTTGATGTCCAGCAGGAGACCCCCAGGGACTTTTCTTCAAAGCTACTTTCTAGATGGTTGCCACCCAGTAGACACCAGGGCATAGAGCCAACCTTCCCCAGGTCCAGAACTTCATACTTTCCCTTCCTGAACTTTATGAGATTCCTGTCAGCCCATTTCTTCAGCCTTTTTAAGTCCCTCTGGATGGCAGTACAATCCTCTGGCATATCATCCATTCCTCACACTTTTGTGTCATCAGCAAACTTGCTGAGGATATACTTTACTCCATCATCCAGATAATTAATGACAACGTTGAACAGGATTGAACTCAGAACCCAGAGGTACAACACTAGCTACTAGCCTCCAGCTAAACTAGATCACATCGTGGATCACCACCCTCCTTGGTCCATCTCTTCTGCAAGTTTTATGTTGACCTTCACTGTTTGCTCACCCAGCTCACACTTCAGCAGCTTCTCTATGAGGATGTCAGAGGAGACACTGCTGAAAGCCTTATTGAAACAAGTATCTACTGCACTCCCCTTGTCTACCAGGTCAGTCATTTCATCTTTCTTTCCCTCTACTTCCTCTGAACCTCATGGCTTTGAAACTACTTTCATATGTTTAAAAAAGACACTTCCACTCTCTCCTATTTTGAACATGTAATTAAATGGTTTTTTTCCCACCTAAAGACCATGTGCTTCATTACTATATCCAGATATATGTTATCACTGGATTCAGACATCACTCCCTATACCTTGACTATTTATGTATTGAAGAGTCATTTATTTTACAATACATTTTTGATAGGGGCCAAGATGGCGGGCGGGCAGGCTGCCACGCGTTCGGCGTGCTCCTGCAACTGGGTGGTGGGTGGTGAGGGACCCGCTCCTGCTCTCGCGGCTCGTCATGGCCCTGCATGCGTGGGAAAGGCTGCAGCACCGATCTGTGCAGTCGACCTCCTGGAGAAGCCGTCGGGAGCTGTGCTTCGACGTCGGAACGGCGGAGCGGTTGGCAGATGGCCGGCGGCCATGCGGGGCCGGGCCGCGGGACCGGGCCGCGCCGGGTCGGACCGGGCGGGTGCAGGGAGGGGGCCGGACGGTCCCGGGGGTTCCCCAGACCGTCGAGGGGGGGCGGGTAGATGGTCCCGTTCAGCGCGGGGGGGAAATCCCCTGGTCGAGCCGTGCCGGGTCAGGCTGGGCAGGAGCAGGGGG